CAAAGTAGACTTCCTGAAGCCCATCAATTATATTATTATTAATTTAGTCTAAAGAAACTTTCTGTCGAAAGATGTCCAAAAACCCCAATCCAATTTATTGTTGTACTCTAAACTGAGCCTGAAGCCTGAAATACGAGGCAACAATTACGAGGCAAACCAAAATCTTTGCTCAAATAGTGCAATTTATATATAAAAAAAGTTTCCAGGCAGCCCCAAGGCATAAATAACTTGTGACCAACCAATCCATCTTTCTTTTTACCATATTTGGTAGATGACAGTTTTGGGCATTAAACTTTATATGAAAATATATTCAATGCAACGGGCAATGATAAATTCAAATTTGATTTCTGTACAATTTTGAAAATATGTTTTTGAAAAATCAAAGCTAGAAACAAAATCGAACTTCAAACATGTGATGAATAAGCTTCACGAACCGAACTTGAAAGAAAAGAAGCTGGTTCGAACCTAACAACAACTATTTTCTTTTGTTTTGGCACAACTTGTGAACATCGAATTACTTTAACATGTATCTAACAAGGGCTGAAAACGTCAATAATTGGGAACAATGACGTTGGCTCAGATGTGCCTGACACTTGGAGATTTGTGCATGAATGTGTGCTAGGGTATTTGATGTTCGGTAACGAGAACGCAAATCTTTCCTTTGAGGGCTTTACTTGATGCGTTGGCTCGCAGATGATTTCCGTTCGCAAGTTTACAAATGTTCAAACCCGAAACCAAAAGCCATATTGTGCTATATGTATGTTTGTGTGCGTGTGTATGCGGTCTGTGTATCTGTGTGGCATTCACTTCCGTTTCATTTGGTAAGCGAGACTGGCAACAGAATGCAAGCTTATGCCAAACGTGGCAACTGCCACAAGCTGCAGGATTAACCTTAAGTGAATGCAAAATGAATGCAGAAGGACAAGAGATTGTTGCAACTGTTGCCATGCGAGCAGCACAGCTGGAGCCCTGTGCTGGCAGCATTGATATGTCTTCTGCTTGGCTGGCTTGCCAAAGATTACGCATACGCACCGAGTAACAACACCTCAGCTGCCGTCAACCCCCCCCCCCCCTCCCAACGCCGCCGCCGCGGACTGTTGCCGTCTGGAGTAGCTGATGAGGGCACATTTTATTTTTGGTACTTGGCTTGTCTCAGCCAGTTCATTATGTGCTCGCGCGACGATAGCCCAAATCAAAAGGCAGCGATACATAAAACAAATGCTCACAATTCGTATACGTATTCATATTGAAATTCGAATTCAAGTTCAAATTTTCAACAATTTGATGATCAATTTGGCATCAAAGTGCGCGTAATTGGCCAACATGTGCTGTGGGTGGCGCGCCTGTCTCTCTCCCTCCCTCTGCGCGCGTGTGTGTGTAGGTTTTTCTCTTTGATTAATTCATGGCAATTGCTCACTGATCAAATTCGAAGACTTGGTCAAATGGCTCAGCCCATGAATCAGGCACTGAGCAGTCGAAAAAGTGGCATGCCAGCAATTTAATTGCAAACAAATTAAAAGTCAAATGATAAATGAATCCATGTTTCGAGTACTCGGCAGTAAATGATTTGTTGCTGAAAACTGAACTCGAACTCAGACAAAATAAACAATAAATTCTGACGAATATTTCAACCCAAAGGCAATTAGCAACTATTTGTATTAAAATTGTTAACTTACCAAAAAATCCAACATAAGTAAAATATTAAATTTGTGGCTATTTTGAGCAATTTAAAGACAATTATTTTCCAAATTGTAATCCATCAAAATATGCACTTAAATTTTGAATGCAATTAAAATACAAATAAATGTGCATTTAAAATCAAAGATATGCAAAATATGGATATTAAGAAATTCCAAATTTTTATATCTAAGCTATACGTATTATTCATATTTATATACGAACTAATTCTGCATTTTTCTCAATGAAAAACTTTTAGGAATTTGCATGTTACAAATATATATATTTTAAATAAAATTTGTAAATGTTCTAGCTCTTGGTTTTTAAGTCAAAAAATTTAGACCTTTTCTTAATACCCTGAACCCATTAAAACTGGTTATATTGTAATTGTGCAAATGTATGTAACAGGCAGAAGGAAGCATCTGCGACCCCATAAAGTATATATATTCTTGACCAACATCTACAGTCGAGTCGATCCAGCCATGTCCGTCCGTCTGTCTGTCCGTCCGTATGTATGAGCGCAAGGATCTCAGAACTTATAAGAGCTAGAGACTTGAAATTTTAGATGTAGATGCTCATAGCTCCCGCGCAGATCGAGTTTGTTTCCGATACTTGATAACTTGCCCCGTTTCCAAGTAATCGATAAAAATCTATATCGAAATCCTGTTTTTTGAGCAATTTTGATAGAGAATATTATATATATATAGATGTATTTGGGGCTGGAAGCAGAGGGTTCAGGGCATGGCCTAGTCGGTAGCTCCCGACTAGAACCTTTTAAAACTTGAATAACACCAAAAGGTTTTCAGTTCATGGTTCGTACTGCGACACACACGGCTTCGTTTGAAGGCCTGCCCCATTAGTGCATCAAAAATTGCAGCAGCAGATTGATGAGCTCACTGAAAAGTCCACAAGGATATTGTAGACATGGCAACCGCCGTCGGTATAAAAAAACTTGTAAAGCACACATGGTATTAAGTTTTTTTTATGGCATGTGGAACCTTTTGCCAAGGAGCAAATGTTGGTAATTTGTGACGAAAATCAGAAAGCAGCAGAAGCTGCAAACTTGTTAGGGGAGCCCATATTTAATTAATAAATGCTATTCAAATGACCCTCAATGAAGTGAAATTAACCCAGCTTGATTCATTTACGTTCCCGCTCAAATAAACAAATTTTAAAGGATCTTCAAGCAAAAGCTAGAATTTTTTTAAAGTCCAAATATTTATCATTTAGGGATATTTGCTGAAAACATTCATAAATAATAGTTTCTTTCGTTTTTATATTTAAATATAAAATAAATAGTTTTGTTTTTCAAAAATTCGCTTAACATTATTTTTTCATGAGCTCGAATCCAATTTAAATGCCACCCATACAAATGTATGCAAATTGTGGACTCGTTTTACGGCATTTCAATTAAGGGCCAACTTTTTCAGTTCCTGCGGGGGAAGGGGGAAGGACGTTGAGCGAAGTTAGGTGTACATCAAATGCATAAATGGGCCAACTCTGGTTGCCGCTTGGCAAAAAGAAAAAACCAACTCGTTGTGAAGAGTAGCAAATATTCAAAGCCCGTAAATAACGTAATTTAGTTAAATTATTTTACCGCTAAAGATCATTATTAGCCTAACTAGCCGATTTGTTACTCCAGCTCTAAGACTGTGAAATATATAGAATTCACTTATATAAAATATTAAAAATATCATCATTTAATAAATGTATGCATAAAACTGTTTGTCCTGACTGCTTGTACAAAGAATTCTCTTAATCAACCTTTCATTTGAGTTTAACGTGTTTCACGCTTTTCGATAACTTTACAGTTCCATCGTGGAATTGGGGAACAAAGTGGAATTGCTGATTGATATGAAATAAAGCTCATGTTCGAGAATCTTCATGAAAATTCATTTGAAACGTTATTCTCCATTTTCATGGTTTCCAAATAGGTTTTTTGCTGATAAGCTAAAACTAAAAGCTTAATTTGTCAAGGACTTCGAGAATTTTTTTTTTTTGAGCCATAATCCTGATTGGAAGCTGGACACAGCCACTTGCTCTGTTAACCCATAAATGAAGTCAGAGCCATTTAAAATTTGTATTTCTTATAGCACTTGCCCTTTAGTTGCTTGATTAAGAAACTATTCCAGAAAATGAACAATATTCAGCTTGTTATAACTTTTCAATAAGGTTCTTAACTTTTGCATCTAATCAATGGAATCTACATGCATACTATATGTATTTTCATTCATATAGATTTGTTATTTTTCGGCATAATAATATATATTTTATGCCGTGTGTGTAGTTTTTCGACTATGTCAGGAATGTAAACAAAAATCACTATTAAATATATAATATGCATATATATATATATAAAGATATCTATCTATACATATATATGTTTACATGTGTGTGTGTGTAGTAAGGTGAGCTCCTCAAAGCTGAATGTCGCTGTACTCGACCAGGGAAAGTTAAGAGGTAAACATAAAGAACAGCCCAAGCAGCTGGCCCACTCTTGGCTGGGATCATTGGTTTCAGTGGGCTCAGGCTCAGAAAATTGGTAGCGGATAACAAATGTGACAGAGGCACGACAATTGGTCATATGTCACTTGGCTCGTGGTGCGAAAGCCGGATGCCAGCAATTAGTGCTGCTAATGAGAGTGGCGCTGCACTTGGTGTCGGCGGCGTCGTTGGCGATGCAGTCATGGATGGATATTGACTTCATTATTGGCCAATTGAGGGGAGACCAATAAATGACGACGTCATTGGCGAAAATGTAAATGTTTAGACAAAAACTATTTAAACTTGTCTAAATGCTTGCACACCCAAACACAGACACTCGCACTCACACACATGTCGTGCTATGCTTGTGGCTGCGGTCAGTGTGGTCAATGATGCAGCGCATCCAGTCGAGTCCGACTGGAGATGAATATTAATATGAGTATAGCTATTGGGCGCGTATATTGCGTGGGCGTTCGAACAGAGAGATGGCAATTTGGGCGTGGGCGTGGCAGTTACGGTCGGCACTTAAATAATGCACAGAATAGTTTTATGTCTTAATTATGAGCTAATTTTTAGTATTTTCTCAGCAATAAATCTGTGTGTTGTATTCTGCGCACAGGCAAACAAAAATTTAACGCCCAGTTCCAGAACAAGTTGTTCTTGTTATTGTAAATTTCAACTATTTCAAATTTTTTTTAAAATATGCAAATGATTTGTTTGTTTGTCTGTTTGTTTGTTTGTTTGTTTGTTTGCTTGCTTGTTTTTTTACTTGTTTGCATGATGCGAGCGAACGAGCCAGGCGCGTCTCATGTGTTGTCAAATTATGTTAGTTAGCTTACCAATCCGCCCACACCGCAATAGATGGACAGCGAGACAAGCAATCCGATGTGATTCAAAGCTGACTTCCATTTGAGCGACTGCCAGCAGGCGGAGCTGCGACTACAGATGCCGCCGCCGCTCTCGACAGCCTCGGCACGGCGATCCAAATGCTTGAGCTTCTCGAGCAGCTCAGTGTTGGCCTCATCCTGCGAGTCGTAGTCGTTGGGCGATCTGGCCTTGGCGGGCATCGCTTTGCACTACGTGTTGTTAATATTTACAAATTGCACTTTCTGATTTGGCAGTGGTCCCATCAATTAGCTGGCGACCAGCGCCCGTCGCTTAAGCTGCCTCGAGCCATTGCAGTAAATCCCAATGATTTTTAATTTAATCTCAATCTATTTCACTAGCAGCTCGCACGCAATTTAAATACGCGCCAAGTAAAACGTACCCCGTCGCGAATTGACGCCCGAAGCAGCGAACAGCCAAAGGAAACCAAAAGCAACCGCACTCGACGACGGCCAACGAGGCGTATGAGCAACGGCAACGGCAGCGGCATCGACAGCCTCAGTCATTTAACAGAATTGTTTGCATTAACAGCGCCATTTTGAGTCTAACAGAACTTTGGCATATTCACAATACTGTTAAGCGTTACAGTATGGACAGAGCACTTATTTTCTAACTGCCTATGCTCGGAATGTTTGAATCAGAATAGATAGCTTATTATATCCTACTTAAAGATTGCTATAAAGTTACATTTCTTGACTGTTGCTGAAATGATTTAATATGTATTTGCCGATTGCCTTAGTAAAATGCTTTTCGTTTTCAAATCGGTTCTAGAGTTTAAACTTTAATAATTTGCGTTTGGTGAATTTACTTCCTACCTACTGATAATCGGGAAAACAATTTTTGTATTCCTTTTCCATATTTTTTCTTTTGATAAGACCATATCCGACTAAAAAGTCGAACAATTTCTGGTATATAAAAACTTATTAACGCAGGAATTCAAATAAAATAAAAATATTTGGACAAACCCTTAAACAATAAAATTTGATATATCAACTCATAGGTCACTAAAACCAACTATTTAAATGTTAAACTATACTTTAAGTTTTACTGAATTAACATTAAGATAAAACAATATCGAAAGCTAACACTCAAGAATTTATTTGTTTAAAATTGGATAAAATTAAGACTTGGGTTTGGGAATATAGAAATTGGGTTTACGAGCCGAATGTTAAGGCTAGAAAGTGGTTAACAGCGCAACAGTTTTTCGGACTTGCGGAAAAGATATTGAAAAAAATAACATGATTATGAGCCGATTAGGAATTACACTATGAGAAATCCCATAACCAGGAATCACTTTAAATGGGATTGAAGTTAGACACCAGACTAATTTTCAAAGCTTTCTTTGTAACAGTTGAGTAAATCACGCAGAGCTCGCGTCAAATGTACTTTTGAGATAACAGTGAGCCGATTTCCATTTACATATTGACTTTATTTATTTAATAATACATCAATTAGATTTACATCTACTTAAAAAAAAATCCAAATGGAGCAAATTGAGTTGATGTTCTTTTTTAAATTTTGTTGCTCTGTGTGAATGTGTTGCATGTGCCGATGTGTATGTGTGTGAGTGTGTGTGTGTGTGTGTGTTTGATCGTTTGATCGGCATAACTATCATAACTGTGTTTAGGCATCCCAAACATTAATGTTAAAGTTCATGTTAGCAGTATGGTAACCGTTCACGGCTTAGAGAGTTCACATGTTAACTAAACGCTCGCGTGACTAGAGCTGTTGGTAATAACTGAGCAGATAATAGTCGTGTTTTTTTTTTTTTTTTTGAATACCCTGTTCTATAACAAAGTAGATACAAGACTTTCGATCAACACACCTATACCATATGCAAGGCACCTATTCAACAAATGGTGCATTTCTGAGTATATTACCCAAACGGTAGGTATGATAAAAAAAAAGAATTTAAATAATAAACTGTATGTGGTAGAACAACAAAAATAACTCAAAAAAAAAAAAATAGTTGTTGTGTTGCTTGAGCTCCTCCAAATAGCCATTTGAATGTCCACGGCCGAGGATCCACGTCAAAGCGAATAACTGTCTAACAGAAAGAATAGACTAATCAGTTATTTAGGCATAAACACAGTAATGGTGCTTAGATTCACTCACAATATAGAACATAGAAAACAAATATCACAACAAACGTAGTTCTTGTCGAACAACAGATTAACAGATCTTAACATGCAAGCAAAAGCCGGGACATTTATTTAAACATTGTTAGTTAGCCTATTTATCTAATAGACAATTTATAATAAATTAAGTCTTAAGCTTTTAAGGAATTAAGCACAAAATTAACAGAAGCCATTGAAATGTAACTAAGATGTTAAAACTGTTAATAAACGCATGAATTTGTTTAAGCTACATTAAGTGCAAATGTAACACAATTTGCGTGAGTAAGACGAAACGATATCCATGGGTGCATAACAATAAATAATGTGGGTCTATATAAAGTTTGGCAATTGGAAACAAATGAAAAAAGTACTATTGCTGCCCTTTATGCTGGAGGTATTAGTGCAAGCTCTGTTAAGCTTACATCTGTAAGTCTGCAGTTGCTAGCTTACATAATAAAAATAAAAAGAACTTAACAGTCGGGCATAACCGACTGCTCGAAACTCTATTCGGAGCGTAATTGCCGACTAAATCAGTCGCAAGGAGTTTACTTGATTCTAATCCAAAATAAATAGCTGGCTGACGTAAGACTATTAAAAACATAAATAAGAACACGTCCACAATGTTTCCGTTAGGTTAGAAAGTGGTAAAAATAGGTTTTTATTAAAAAAAATATAACATGTTCCCTGTAGGAGACCAAAATGTTTTGCTATATAAAACTAGAAGTTTAAGAAATAAAATCAGTTCGAATTTGAAGTCAAATGAACTTTAACCGCAAAGCAGCGACTGAGACTAGAAGATCTTGAGTAGAGTATATAGAGTATATATATATACTGAAAGCCTTTTAGTTTCAACATACTGCTTTTGCTCCCTAATAAACTCCTTTAATTTCGAGAACCGAGCATAAAAACCGAAGACAATTAATTATACAAATTTCACTATTAATACAATTTTTAATTGAAAACGGAATGTGGGAAAATTTCATCTAACAGTCAATTCGAAATGTTATGAACAGTTATGTTAGGCACGAACGTTAACACCAAATTCGTGCGTAATTCGACATGTTATGGGACAATTTCATCTAACAGTAATTCAAAATGTTAATGTGAATTATGTTGGGCACGAACATTAACACCAACTGCAAACGTGAGAAGAGATGAGATGGTAGACTTGCATGCTGTAAGAGATGGCAAAAGATGCAGGCAAAATAGAAGAGCACACACACAAAGACACAGGCGCATGCACACATATACAAAAGTATTTAGAGCGAGACAGACAATTTGGCGCGCTGTTAATAACCTTTTGCGTGACGCGTTCATTTAGTTGAATTTCTAAGATTCAAACACTGTCAGAATATCCTCCATGGTGACTCTGGAGTTTGAATGGAGGCTGTTGCTTATTTGAAAATCCGGCTCTAGAAAATTTGAAAGAATAATGGTAGTTTAAAAGCCGACCAACATGAAAAACAGAAAAACAAAACAACACAAAATACAATAATTATAATGACAATACGCACCCACAAGCTGGCCCAGTTCATCGTCATCTAAAGTCGGTATTTCACCGATCGGCGAGTACGGCGGTTGCGGTATGCTACTGGTGCCGCTGGCTGGCTCACTGGCATTGAAGGTTGTGGTCGCTGCAACAGGCGGCGTCAACTCAGTGTCCACCGCCTCTGTCTCACTGATTTGCCGCGCCGGCGCCTCTTCGGCAGTTGTCAGAGCTGCGCTGCTGGTTTCCTGCTCATGGGCCGACTTAAAGCTGGTGTCTGACTCCGGTGACTCAAAGCGTACGCTGCGATTGGTTGTCTGCGGCAGGAGCTGTGGCGTATTTTGTCGTGAGGGCGGAGTGTGCAGCTCCCGCACATCCTCAATGGATGTTTGAATCTCTAAAATGTCATCGGTTGTTACATCATCCGTTAGGGCAGTCGACACAGGTGATTTTCCTTTTAAGTCTTTCTGCTCCAGCACGTCTGTCGACTGTTTCTGTTCTGTCTCTTGTTCCACAGACTTCGGTACAGGATCCACAGGCTTCGGCTCATCATCCTTTGGCTGCGGCTCCGGGTCCGTTTGCTTCTGTTCATGTTCCTGCTCAGCTGTTTCCTCTTTCTTAGTTTGAGATTGTGGTTTCTCAGCTGGTTCTGCGATTTCATCAGCATCACTTTCTGGCACTGTCACTGGCACTGGAACTGGCTCCTGGTCTTGCTCTGGCCCTTCGGCGCCCTCCTCGTCACTCACTGTTGTAGTTACTGTAACTCGTTTTACTGGGGTCGGAGTGCCAGAGCGACGCACGCCCAATGTTTGATAGTCGGGCATTTCGTTGGGCACTGTAAAAGTAAATATATATTTGGTTAAGTAATCAGGCATCTTTGACTATGCCCTACTCACCAATATACTCGTCGCCGGCTTCGTTATCCACATCCTCATCCTGGCTGTCATCGATGCGCAGACTGGCCAAATCGTTGACTGGAACGCGCAGTGCCGGTCGCTTGAGCTTAGGGCCACGTCGGCCGCCGTTGCAAGAGGCCTGGCGACCGGACCGCTTGCTTGGGCTGGCCATGTCGTGTTTAAGCTCAATGTCCTCGAGCACGTTTCCAGTGGCATCGACACGTTGCAAACGCGTTGGCACTGAATTGCACAATTTCGACAGCAGCCTGGGCGTACCCGCAATGGACGATGATTTGCGCGGTTTACTGCCAAGTATTTCGACAGCTTCACTAAATGAAACCGAAAGCTTTGATTTGGACTTTCGATTTGCGCGCTTCGTCGTGGAGATGTCCGAGCCAGTTAGGCGCTTCAACTTGACCACGCATTTAAAGAAGCGAGCGCCATAACGCTGCACCAGCGCCTTGCTGACACTGTTTGGCCTGGCCTGTTTGAGCGATCTTTTCAGATTTGGCGGCGGTGTGTGTGCACGTGACGTTGTCTGTATGGTTCGTTGCTTGGCACCGTTCTGCATCCAGGGTACCTTGATGTGCACCTTACTAATGGGTTTTTGTTTTTTGGGTGGCGACGGAGAATCATCCAGCATTGATGAATCTGACGCCGTCTTGCGTGGTCTGCCGCGTTTGCTGGCTTTCCGTTTGATTAAACGTTCAATCTCTGTCTGGTTCAAGCGCTTGATGCGCACCAAGCATTGTCTAATGCCTGCCGAGGTACCAGTTTTATTCTTGGAAGTCGTTGGCACATCTGCAAACATTTTCTGTTGGGCCTTCGTTTTGGGCGGTTGTGGCTGTCGATGCTCATCATCCTCATCCTCATCCTCTTCCTCACCGTCAGCATCGCAGTCGCGATCGGCGTTGTCGTCCTCGTTGTTGTCGCTAACAAGCGCGGGTTCCTGTGAATTGGCATTATCATCAGCAGCAGTGTCATCCACTGTTGCTTTGTCATCCTCCTCAGCTATAATATATTGAATTTAATAATTGTTCGTACATTTCGAGTTTATTTTGTAACTGACCCAAATTGTAAATGGGCGATGCTGGCACCGGCGAGCGTGGTAGTGCGATTTCCGTGTCGGAATCATCCTCTGCAATTCGTTTGTGCTTAGCTACAATCTGAGTTATTTGACTGTCGTATTGGCACATACCTGGATTAAAAATGGGCGACATTGGCAATGGCGACGGCTTTGAGGGTTTTTCTTTCGGATCTGCGTCTGCTGCCGCCTCAGCCTCTGGCTGCGCTGCTGTCGCCTCTCGTACGCTCGGCGGCGGTGGAGCTGCTCGCACCAAATCGAACAAATCCATTGCGTGTGTGTGTTTGTGTGTGTGTGGGATAGTGCTTATGATTGACGGTCTTTAGCTATCTTGTTGCGTCCACATCCACAAACACAAGCTCATCGACAGTTTTGGTCGAGCCGCCTTAGCTTCAGCCCCAAGCGAACGAAGCGCGAAAACCACACACGTAAAAATAATAACATACACGGCAAATAGAAACGCGAAACGAAATATGCTTCGTAGTTGTCTGTACGCCTGTTCCCAATCTTTTTAATGCAACTTTTTAAATCACTTACCGTAGCTGCAACAATTTTCTTTAACAAAAATTGAGGCAAAAAAAAAATAAACGCGGATTTATACTCTATTGCAGAGAGACACCGACGCCGCTGTGTAGTGATGTAAAATGTATCATTTATCGATTCATCGATTCAAAGTTGGCGATATTTATCGAAATAAGCTCGGCTATGCTCGCAGCAATTACAGTTAATAATTAAACGGAGCGCGAATTGCGAATTATCTTGTGTTTCTGTGACTAGCTTATCATTTCATTCTTATAAACTTACTCGAACGTTTTGTTTTGGGCGTAGTTGAGCAGATTGCTGTAAGGATTATGTTTGTATGATAATATGTTTCACAGCTTACTCAGCACAACATTTTTCCCTACACTCTGACTCACAATATATATTGTATATTGTATTGTGTTATGGAATAGTTTTTGTCATACCATAAATACCATCAGAAATCATTTAATTTTCCTTCAACGAATTCAATATTATTACACTCTTTGCAGTTTGTTGCTTCTCCCGCCAATTATCGATTACAATTCGATCGCAGAAACGAGCTTAACTGGCCGATCTGGCAGGATTTATCGGCCTCCACCACAGCCAATCGAAGGTATATCGAGGTGATGGGCGCGCTATTTCAAAGAGCAATAGTTTTCAATTGGCATTTTTATTCACTTTCATTGTATAATTGGTTAATTGCAATAAATATAATTTTGTACAATTAGTTGGCGAATTTTTGCAGGCAGCAAGACATTGTGCAATTAGCAATTGTTTGGATTTGTTTCGTTTACATTTCGATTTCTGAGGATAACACCTTCAAGACTAGCACAAAAACTTCGCCGGCTCAGCATATAAATATGTATAAAATATAAGTAGTACATACAAAAGCTATGTAAACATATATAGATAAAAGAATACTTTGCGTAGACAGGGGCGAGTGGTGAGTTAATTAATTAATTGGGCGGCGAAATATATATAAAAAAAAAAATAAACAACGGCTCTAAATAAAAATAATAATAAACAATTAAATACATTATAAAAGTACAAACATTTGCTGGCGTTTCTGTGTCGTGTTTATATATACATATATATCTATATATATATATATATATATATATATATATATATATATATACATGTGTGTGTGTGTGTGTGTATATATATTGCAGTCGAAAATTGTCATGTCCGGCGGCTACTCTGTCACGGCACCGCACGGCTTTTAAATGTACACCTTAAACGCGCTCCAGCCATGGAAGCACTTTGTAAAACGTCGCGACTCCTTGTTTTTCATGGTGAGGAACAGTTTGCGCGGTCGTTCCGGCTGCTTAATGCGCATGTGCTGTATGTAGACCTGGGCCGATTTGTAGGCCAGCTTCACTTCCACCTCGCTGCAACGCGGCCCCATCCAAAGAAAGACGTGCTCACCATTGTCGAGTATCATAATATCATCATCGGCCAAATCGTCCTGACAGAAGTCTGCGCACTTCTCGGCCACCGTATAATAGCCCCGCTCGTTGGAGCAGCGAAACAGTCGCGTGTAGTTCATATAATCGGCATTCGTGTCGTATGGCTTGCGACCGCCCAGCGCCACCCAGAAGAAGTTTTCCGGTTCGTCGCCCTCGTTGAGTATCTGTGGGTATGTCAATTCATAAATGAAACACTCTATATGTATATATATATATATATATATATATGTATTGAATAGTGATTCATTGGGCTGATACTCACCTGCAGGCTCACCCAGGGACTGTTGAACATCTGTTCGGCTATATCCTGCACCAGTTTTGTCTCCTCGTTGCACGCTTTGCTGCCCAGCCAAACGTACACAATGCCCGACTGTGACTCGTCCTCCGTTTCGAATGGCACATGAAGAATATAGCTGAGCGATTCAAAGAGATCATTAATAATATTATCAGATTCATCGTTTAGCGGGAATTGGGTGAAAACCCAAATGGGTTACATATCATGGGTTATGGGTTATACCATGAACTGTTTAATAAACGATAGTAAATTGGAAAAAAAAGCGGGTCGTTGTCAAGACTTACCAGAATGCCGAGTTCAGATGCACTGCATCCGGCTGGATTTGTATGAGTCGTGTGGTCAATGCGCCGCCATTGGAACGCAAATGGAAGAACTCAACGGCGGGTTTACCATCGGGCGTGAGCGCCTTGTCCTTGCGCTTACCCGTGTGGATGATGAACTTGCGCTTGAAGTGTGACATGAACTTGAGGTTCTCCTGCTGCTGAAAGATGCGCATGACCTCCAGCTCCTCGCCGAACATTGCCTTGAACTTCTTCTGCAGTGTAAACGTAAAGGTCAGCCAGCCCATGTTGCCGGCATTGCGTCCCTGCCAGAAGTAGACAACACACTCGATCTCATCCTCGGGCGGCGACGATTTGCTATCATCGCCATTCGGCTCCGCGCCACCTTCGCCACCATCAACATCGTCGACGGGTATACAGTAGCGGCAGAGGAAGACATAGCATTCGCCCGTATAGAAATGTCCGAGCTCCTCTTCGGGCAGCCGGACAAACTTCTTGTTCTCGAGCACAAAGGCCTCCATCATCTCGAGATCGTAGTTCCATTCCTCCTCCAGCTGCTCGGCCTCGGCCAGGGGCATCGCGCTCTGGCGTGGCATAAACAGCGCCGCCAGATCTGTGCGTGTCTCCTGTTTGCGCGCCCATTGCGTCAAATTGGCGCCCGTTTTGGCCACCGATTTGGCGGTGCGTGTGAAATCAACAGCCATCACCTCATCCCAGCCGGGGAATTTGGTGCGAAAGATCTGCATCTCGTTGCCCTCCGGTACGCGCATGACCAGCGCACAATCCGGCCGCTCCAGCATGTTGAACAGCTCGCGGCTCAGCTTGACGGCGGCGGCGCGCACCAATCGGGTCGACTTCTTGCCAAACCAGACAAACAGATCCGTATAGCAGTCGAGGATGTAAACGTGCTTGCTGTTGAGCAGCGTGTGGCTGAGCTTCTGCTCGGGCAACTCCACCTGCGGCAGCTCCAGATAGCCCATGCCCAGCTGCACCTGATAGAGGCGCGGCTGTACTGGCGCATAGTTCTCATCGATGTGCTCCTCGGGCGGCGGCAGATCGGCCACCTCCTCCGGCAGTATATCGAATGCTTCCCAAAATTCTGGACTCTCTGCACCCTGCATATCGACCAGAATTTCGCACTTATTCTTGCGCTCCGTCTTGTTGATCTTCTCGGCCATGAGGCGCGCCTTAGAGTTGAGCGTGTTCTTGGAACGCTTGCCCAGCCAGATATGTATCCGTGTGCCCACATCCAGGAGGAAGGCGTGCCGCGGATCCAGCGATTGCACAACCACAGCCATTGGCTCTAAATGAATGCTAGCCCCATATGCATGGACCAGATAAAGCCGTGTTATGTGTATCATCTCCTCGATGGTATAGAAGCCGGTAGCAGTGCGTCCACCCTCAATATAAATCACTTCCGCCTCGAATAGGGCCAGAAATTCATCGGATTCGTCGCCCTGCTCCTCGCGTATCGTGCGACATCGTGCGCCCAGATAATTACGCAAATTGACGGCATGGATGGCGGCACAGGCGCGCTTGTCCAGCGTCGCCTCGTTACCAATCCAGAAGTAGATCTCCCAGTTGAGTGTGTGCAGCTCATCGAACTTGGTCTTAAGGACAATGTAGCAGTCGCCCTCGTAGAATTTGCCATGCACCACCTCCTCGATTTTGTTGGGCAGAAAGTTCTCGATCTCCCAGATGGTTAGGCCCGGCTGCTGGCCATCCTCCTTCTCAAAGAACTTGGAATAGTCCAGCTGTGGCTTCTCCAATGATTCGTCCCAACGTTTCGGCTTCAATGACTCTGTGGGCAACGCATCCATGTCGTCCTTCTCTTTGTCCTTGGCCACGTCCTTCATACCCTTTAGCACCTTGGCCGCATCCTGACCGCCATCCTGGCCCTCCGTACGCGGACCCCGTCGCAAACGTATCTTGCGTGCCGTCGCATCCTTGGGCGTCGGCGCGGCCGGTATCGAGGGCGGCACAGCGGCCCCAGCCAGTCGTAGTTGCGTCTGCAGCGAGAAATCAATGTTGTAGAACTCCAGGCTGGTCGCTTTGCTGGCCTCACTGGGCTTGGGCGGCATCACCAGCTCCGGATTGTCGCGCAAATCCAGCTGATCGAGCCCCTCTAGCAGATGTATGGCATCGGGCAGTGTTATTAGCCGATTGCTGCTCAAATTCAACTGCTTGAGCGCGCCGCATCTGCACAGGCCCTCGGGCACCATCTCGAGCAGATTGTTCGACGCCGAGAAGCACTCAAGGGCGCCAAGCTTGCCAATGCCCGACGGTATGCCCTCAAAGTTAAGTTTGTTATCGTTGACAAAGAGGCGTCGTAGCCGCGACAGCTTGCAGAGGGCGGCGGGCAGGACAGTCAGCTGGTTGCGTGATAAAATCAGCGACTCGAGACGCTGCCACTGGTCCATGCTGGAGCTGAGCTCGTTAATCTCATTGTCGCTGAGATTGAGGCGCACCAGCGTAACCACATTGTAGACGCAGTCGGGCAGCTTTGGCAGTGCATTGTGCGAGAGATCCAGCTCCACAAGATTGGCCAGACTGTCGATGCTAGTGGGAAAGTTGAGGAGCGTGCGCTGTGTGTTGCTCATTTTGAGCACCTCGAGGCTCTGCAGCGAGGGCAGCTGACGCAGCTGGAACAGCTCCAGCGGATTGCCGGACAAGTCCAGCGTCTTTAAATTGGTCAAACGGCGCGTTTGCGGCGGCAGCGTCTCTAGGCGATTGTGCGATAAATCGAGAAAGAGCAGATCCGTCAGATGTATGAACAGCGCCGTGGGTATGCTCTCAATTTGATTGAAGCTCAGATTGAGCACAATTAGATTCTTGGCACGCTCCAGACCCTCGGGCACTTCCTTTAGCCGGTTGTGCGACAAATCCAATGTGGTTAGCTCCTCCAGCTGGAACAGCTCTGGGGGTATGCCGCTGTTCTTCAGCTGATTGTGGCGCAAATCTAATGAGCGCAGGCACGTCAGTTCCGTTAGTTCGCCAAAGAGCTTTTCCAGATGATTATGATTTAGGGAGAGGTGCTCCAGCTTCTGAAGATGGCCCAGCTCCTCGGGTATTTGCTGCAGCTGTGTGTGGTCTAGTGTTAGCCACTGGACGCGCGACATTTGCCGCATGGAGCTGGGGAATGTTTTCTGCAAGAACAAACAGTGGTTATAACGGTAAGCGGCTGGGCAATGTAAACAAAGCGCTAACAGCGCAGTTAACGTCGCCGCTGACGTTGACGTCGGCGTCGGCGTCAACGTCAGCAGCTGCAGCAGCTGTGCGCTGCTGATGACAAATTCGCCGTGAATGGCTACTTTTTTCATTTTTTTTTTCCTATTTGGAGCAATGACTGAACCGCTAATCTAAGTCTGGGGTTGACCCGCTTGTGCAGGTGCAGTGGCCAGCAGCTAGCGACCAGCACTTAATTTAGCATTTACATTTACATTCCGCATTTAGCTCGACAGCAACAGCAACAGCAAAAACAACAACAACAACACACAATACTTACGCTGAAATCATTTTTCGTAAAATCAACGCCGCGGACAAACGGTAAAACACTCATCCTGGATATGCTACGCACTCTACTGCTGCTGCTTCTTGTGTGGGTGCGGGGAGTAGCATAAAACTAACAATTTTGCGTCACGGACACGAAGACGGACGGCGAAAACGGCTGCGAGCCCCGTTCTTGTTATTGCTATTTCAATGAATATATGTGCCTGTGCCTGATCTAGCGATGGCAAAAGTATCGATATGTCGACCATATCGATAATAATTTGAAACTATTGCAATAGCATGGGCTCGTGCAATAGATCAAAGCATATCGATATTTCCTTTGAAATGTGCATTTTAAAGTTGTTTTTGTTTCTTCAGATATTTCCGTATCAGTTAACATCAATCGTTGATTCTTATACAGGGCTTAGTAAATTAGCATGCCAGTATAAAGGTTGCTTCTTACAAATTATCGCGTAAACAGAACATATCGGATGATTTTTTTTGCTCTTAATTAAGAATCTCAATTCATTTTTGCAGCTAGTAACTTTGTAAGTTCTATTCGGCTCTCTTACGACGTATCTAAAGGAATATAGGAGGACAGCTTGCTATTGGGCCGATGTCAACAGGTCAGAAGCAATCTTATCAAATGAGATTCAAATGCTTGCGCACATTGATGACATTGAAGAGATCGAAATGGCAGTGAGCAGAGCTAAGCTTTTCTTTAGATCAATAGAGAGAGATGGAGAGAGAGAGAGAGAGATAGAGGGAGAGAGAGAGTGCGTGAGAGAGGTAGACAGCGGAAAAGGAAATAAGAGAGACAGAGAGAGCGAGAGAGATTTGACTTAAGCCTATAAACGGCAACTGAAGTGACTAATGCAAAATTTATAACTTATCAATATTTATACTTATACTTATACTAAATCAGTTTGAGTTTAGTTGTCTTATAATTATTGTTGAGCCTTCAATTTCGAAAAAGCAAATTAGTTTGGTTGACCGGTGTTTCCATGCTGTGTGATTGTTGCCGATACTTTTTGTGCTCGTAGGTACACACTGGCAATGTGTTGTTCGAAACGGGGTGGGAAAATGCGCATGGAGCGCAAGAGTGCTGAAAGGACTTCAGTCTCCTGTTATCCTGTAACTGCTAAGCGTCTCCTCTATGGCATATCAACATCGCATGCATTATCTAGAGGGTGTGACCAAGTTGAACGACAAAAAATTTTCATACTTTGCTCAGTCTTCGGAATGTGAAGTTCCTGCAGGACATTTGTCTCAGCAACGTTCCAAGCAGCAATAAAACTATAAACTTAAAAAAAAAAAAACCAAAAAAGAAAACCAATTCAATTGAATTCAACACAAATCACAAACAACTACAGTGAAAATGAAAAAAACTTGTCCAATAAAGTGCTTCGTGGGCGTCTAAATTACCGTTTCGTGGTCTCGTGCCAGGCAAAAGAATTTAAAAGTAAGCAGAATGCAAATGCGAATGCGGCGAACGCAGAAGCTTCTCAGTTTTCAGCTTTTGTTTGTTGTGAAAAATTGTGTACCCATTGTGCAAAAAGGGGAGTGTTTGTTGTAATGTCCTGTGCCGCTGTAATCAGTAAATGCGACACGCACAAAATTATGCACATAGCTGCAAACTATGTAAATGCTGTTAATCACATTCACAGAATTTGAAAAATATATATGTACATATGTATTTGTGGGACATACATATGCACATAGTATTTGCGAAAGTGTTGTTATTAAAAGCTTCGGGGTCCAAGGATGCGTGGGCGTTCGTCTTATTATGCGTGTCCCAAAAAACTAGCAATATATGTATGTACATGGGTGTATACACATATATTCATATATATATATATATAATATAGAAAAAATACATATACATATACATATATGTACATATATACATACACACGCACGTACGCACGCACACATGCGCCCACACTGCTGCCTCCTTTCGAGATGGGCGTGTAGTTTGGCGCTGTAAGCTACTGTGCTCGCATTTGTAACGGTAACAGTCGAATGTTACAATGCCCAATTGGCTAAAAGCATTAAGCCGCAACAACTAAGTTAGCGCAAGATGCTGCGCTGCATTTTGCTTGTTGGCATGCATGGGTGGGGCGGGTGGTGGGGGAGGCGGCGCGGCAAGCGCAGCAATTACGACTGCGTCCCACGAGCAAAACGCGAGACCAAGCCATAAGGAATAAGGAAACAGTGCGAACTTTTAATCAATAGATATACAAAAACACACACACACACACACACACACACACACACACGAGGAGCAGGACAAAAGCAACAATAACGGGAGCAGCAGCAACAACAACAACAAAGAAAAGTATAACAGCGTGAGCGCGCAAGTGGCTGAGAGAGCTTAGCGCGAGAGAGAGAGAATTGCAGACTGATACTGCAAGAGAGCAAGCGTGAGTCAATGAGCGCGCGCCTGGCCGTTACCTTTCTACCGTTACTCGTACTTGTACTCGCACTCGCACTCGCACTCGCACTCGCATTCGTTGCGTTGCCATTTTCGTTGCCAGCAAGAGCAAGAACAGGAGCAAACAGAGCAAGAGGAAGACAAGTGAACAAAATTGCTATTGCGCTGGGCAGCCGCAGCATCAATAACAGAGCACGAGCACAGCATGCGGGCGGGCGGGCGGTCGGTCGGTCGGTCTGTCGGTCGCTGAAGCTGAGATTTAAGGGTGTGCGTGTGTGAGTGGCCTGCATGGTGAGGTAGTAGTGCTAAGGAAAAAATGGGAGCAAGAACGCGTTGCACAGACAATTTTTAATTAAAGTGCTGCAACATGGCTCATTTTGGGCTGCTAGCGTTCGCCCGCCCACATGCTTATTAAATAATAAAGACCATGCCCACACACACACACACACACTCCCGCACACACGAATACGAGAATGAGAGCACACACAGAGCGCCGCATCAGGAAATATGCATGTTTTGTTTAAAGTGTGAAAATGTGTACAATATCTTATTGTAAGGCCAAAGAACAAAGTGTTTACAGTCAAATTGAAATTACTTTTGACTTGATTCCTGCCCATTCGCATGTAAATCTCATTTGTGTTAACTCAATTATTCATAAAGGCTTCAAAAAATCGTATTAAGAAGTGAACGCGTCCTGGGAAAATAACCCAATGTATCAGAAGTCAAAGTGCTTAAGCCATAATTGTGTTAAGAGTTTTTTTTTTGTAACTTTATGGTAGATAACACACACACACACATACACACCTACTTAATGTCTAAGCGCGTTCCATATTCTACACACACACACATGTGTGTGTACCTACATACACACATATATACCGAGTACACCATATACATACATATATCTGGATAGCGGTTGGAACGTGCCAAACCACGCCTACTTTTTGTTGTTGTTGCTTTTTCTTCTTCTTTTTTTGAATGAGATACATTCTTGAAGAGCCCTTCACACTAATTGTGTTTCCTTGTTGTTGTTTCGCCCACATTGGCACAGTGTGCGACAGTTTGATGTCAAGAGTTTAGAGCTCTGCCCTCAGAACACGAAGCATAACAACGAGCAGGACCAGGACGAGGACGCGGACGCGGACGAGGACGCGGACGAGGCACCTGCAGGAGCATCGCACTCCATACCGTCTCCATTCGCAATCCATCTGCAATCCACGCAGCACTTCATTTGGGACCAGTTCACAAGCACTTAGTACGCATTAGGCGGCCAATCCCAAGACCAGGATGGGCGACTATCACGAGTTCACGGATCAGTACAAAGTGCCGGTGATAGCCAAGCTGCTGCACGCACTGCCCCACTACAATATCACGTTCCACAAGATCAACAGCACGTTCCGGCCCAACGATGAGATATATCTGGAGGTAAGACCAAACCGCGTCAACATCTCACGTTCCATATAGTCAAGCATCAGGGTCACGTACACGATTGTCCACAAAGAAAACCAAAGGAAAACATTTGACCTAGGGTTACTTTTTATAATCCAACATTTTTGTTGCTCTCAAGAGAATGGTTTTAAGATATATCAATTTTTTATTCATAATGATAGGATAAGCGTTAAGGAAATATTCACTTTGATTGAGAAGAAAATGGGTTTTTCCAATTTCTTGGAATTGTCCAAATACCATCTGCCAGTCAACTATATCATACTGCTGCCATAGAAACGAGCAGTCGGAAATTATGCTCGACTTTGTACGTGTATTTTGTTAAAGATCATCAATAATTAATCGGAAGATTGGCCACAAATTGGGTGGGGCTACGAAAAGTTTTTCGAATACGATAATATTATATTATATAAAATTCTAATGCATATACAAAGTACTTTATTATGCAGTAAGCGACAATTTATCGATTAGTTATCGATTAATTATCGATAAGTCATTTATAAGCATATACGATAATATATTATATAAAACTATAATGCATATACAAAGTACTTTATTATGCAGTAAGCGATTATTTATCGATTAGTTATCGATTAGCTATCGATAAGTTATCGTTAGCATTATTTAAAAGCATATATGATAATATATTATATAAAACTATAATGCATATACAAAGTACTTTATTATGCAGTAAGCGATAACTTATCGATTTGTTATCGATTAGCTATCGATAAGTTAACGTTGCCGTTAGGTGTCGCAGCCCGAAGAAACCCGTTGACATTATTGTGTCCACCATATCGAAAGTACACTGTACTCAGTCATTTATCAAAAAAATATATTCTTTCTCACGCGCCATCTTCGCTGTCCTTGCTGGGCACAGAGCCTGGGCATATTGGGATCGGTGCCGGCAGCGCTGCTGATTGTCTCGTTACTGGGACTGCTCTTCTATTTGATGACGCGCTGCTGTGACCGGAAGCCGCGACCGGCGCACTCCATAACCAGCTTGAAGGTGGCGCTGTCCATCGTAACGGTGATGTGCTGTGCGGCGATTGGACTGGGCCTATATGGGAACGATGATCTGCACAATGGGCTGCTGGAGGTGCTGACAGCTGGGCGGAAAGTGGACAATTTGGTGACAACAATACGAAATCAGACGCACATACTGGAGAATACGCTGACCAATCGCATCCGGCCGCAGCTGGTGGAGCTGGCCGATATATTTGATCAGCCGGTGTCCAATCAGACGGCGCTCTCCAAGCTCTTTGTCTCGCTCAACATTGTCCAGGGTAATGTGACGCTGGCCACGAATGCGGCCAGCGATATAAGACGTCCACTGATGGGCATCTCGATGACGCACTTCCTCACTGTGAGTACCGTCATGCAGTTGCTATCGATTCACTTGCTCGCATTATTATAATTTATTTATTATTATTATTATTATTTTTTTGTGACACTTGGATAGCGCGGCGATCAATGGGAGCTGATTCGCTGGCCGGGCACGGTGGCGACTCTGGCTTTGCTGCTCGTACTTTGTGCCGTTTTGCTTGTGGGCGTGGCACGGCACTCACGCTGCGCCCTAATCCTGTTTAGCGTATGCGGCCTGCTGGCCGTCACCGGCTCCTGGCTAATGTCCGGCCTGTATCTGTCATCATCGGTGGCGGTCGGAGATCTGTGCATTAGTCCAGCCGATTTTCTGGTCTCGACAGCGCCACGGGATCTGCCAACAAATGTGCTGCTGCACTATACACAATGCGAGCCGGGACACACGAATCCGTTTACCCAACGACTGCGCGAATCGCAAAACTCGCTGAACAATGCCCGCAGCGCCATGGCCACCGTGATGAAGATCTCTCTGGTGCTGTTCAAGAGTTCGGGCCTGCAGCCGAAATTGGGTGCGGTGAATGCGGACTTGAACAGTAGCGAACGTCTGCTCACCCAGCTGACCGCCCTGGTTGACTGCAAGGCGGTGCATCACAATTTTCTGGCCGCGGCCCGTGGCCTCTGTGAGGGCGGCCTGTTGGGCCTGGTCCTGATGCTCATTGCCAGCTTCATAGCGGCCATATTGCTGACGATTATGGTGTGGGTCGATTCGCACACATGGATCTATATACGCAAGCGCAACGACTATGCTCAAGTGGATGAGCCATCGTATATATCGCATCCGGCGCCACAGAATCATCAGCAGATGATGAACGCGGCACGCACTCTGCCGCGAAACCATAACGGGTAGGTGTTAACTGATCCCTAGACTGATCCCATTGCAGCTCGCCAAACCGCTCTCATTGCAGGCACTTCAGTCCGCCGGTGATCAGTGGCTCCCACACTCTGCAGCATCCCAACAAGCGACAGCAGCACGAGATGATGGCCCACGCGCACATCCAGCAGAACATGCGGGCAATGGGCACCCATACGCTGGGCAGACTGCCGTCGCACAACCACAGCCCCACCCACATGACTGGTAAGTCCGACTACCGCCAGCTGTCCACCTCCAACACCAATACATATACCACAATGCCATCAGTAGCACTATTTTTGCATTACCAGCACAATCCCTTCGCTCTCTCTCTCTCTCTCCCTCTCTCTCTCTCTGTCTATTTGACTCTTTTCTTTTGTTTCCTTTCGCTGCATTATCTGTTGGGTGTGTGGAAATCTTAGGCATATATATAGAAATAAGGCATGATTTTGAGTCCTTTGATATCCAAAATTGTTCAGGAACATAACTGTTGCCCATTTAATAGAGAATTCGTTTCGTAATTTGCTCGAGAACCTGCATTTTTTATACAATACTAGTTTTTGCCTAGTTTTAAATCTCATTAACAAGATGTATCTTTTACTTGAGCCGAGTTTCAAGCGTATATGTAGATATATATTATATCGAATCAAAAATCAATCAAATATCTCTCTATTTTAAGTTTAAAGAAAGTTAGCGGTGGTTCGGTTCACGGTTCACAAACCCATGAAACAAGTTTTGGTTCAAATATTTGAACTATTTTATGGTTGAGCCCAAGTTATTCATGCTTTCTATTTGAAGTTTCTATTTGAAGTTGAACCATTTTTGAAAAATATAATGGCTCAGTTCGGGCTTCGGTTCGGCTGTTCACCGGCAACTGCTTAGTTTGCTTTGTGGTTCGGGTTTGAACCCGTTTGCACCATGGTGTCTCACTATTGCAATTGAATCGTAGAGGAGGGGGTGGGGGGGGGGGGGGGGTATACGTTTCTTGTACCGATTTTTGGTTTTGGTTTAGATCCGATCGGATCGATGTAGCAACTGTTATTCTGATATTCTTGGCCTGATTGCTTTTGCGTTTGTTTGTTTGTTTGCTTGTTTTTATGCTCACTTGCCTCATTCTCATTCCATGCGTCCGACGCCCGTCGACTTCCATGAATCCACCACATCCGTATCCGAATCCTCATCCGCCTTGCTAATTGTGTGTACATTTTAGGTCCCAATAACGGTAAATATGCAACCCTAAGCAAACAATGCAAAACTTTGGAAGCCAATGACTTTTACTGAAAATCGTCGCCAGCCGCCGCCGTCGCCGCCGCCGCTTCCTCCGTACCGCCCACCACACAGGCCCAGGTGGCCCAGGCCCAGGCCCAGGCTCAGGCACATGCTCATGCCCAGGCTCAGCAGCAGCAGCAACAGCAACAGCAGCAGTTGGGTCCGCAGCCAATCTACTGCCATCATCCGCACCAGCATCCGCACGCGCATCCGCACGCACATCCCCATTCGCACTCGGCTGCAGTTGCCGCTGCCGTGCAGCATCAGCACGCCATTTACCACCAGCAACAGGCTCAGGCTCAGGCCCAGGCCCAGGCACAGGCACAGCAGTATGGCACATATACGACGGCCGCGGCGGCACATGCACATGCCCAGCAGCATCATTTGCCGCCGCCGGGTCAGAGCCAGATCTATCAGCAGATACCGGCGCATTTGGCCGGACAGCTGGCGCCCAATGGGAATCCGCATTCCATTTATCAGCCGCTGGTGGCGGTTAGCCAGGGCTCCATTTATGTATCCAATTTGGCGACAATGCGCCGCCAAAATAGCCAGGGTGGGCCGCAAATTCCGGCGCATCACCACCAGGCCTCGGTGCAGACGCAGCCGCCGCCAAATCCACACCACCAGCAGCATCAGCAGCAGCAACCGAATCCTCATGCCCACCAGCAGCAGGCGCCACAGCAGCAGCAGCAGCAGCAACCGCCGCCGCCCTCGCAGCAGCAACAGCAGCAGATGCTACAGCATCAGCTGAAGTCGCCGCAGCAACAGCAGCTGCAGCAAATGCAGCAGCAGCAGCAGCAACAGCCACCGGAGGCGGAAGTGGTGCCCATTAGCACCACCATGGATACGGCCATATACGATCGGGATAAGCAAATCTACAAGTGCTCTACGCTGCGCCAGGGCGGCAAATTTGATCCCAAATACAAGCCATCAATACTGAATTGCCCATTGCCTGAAATACCCAAGGATGCGGAGCAGCCCAAAGTGGAGTCCATCTATCAGCAGCAGCAGCAGCATCAGCATCAGGCGCAGAACTATTCCAAGTAAGTTGGTAGCTAAATTCGTGTGCCATCTCATCCGCCACCACATCTCATACTTGTAGAACCTTGCAACGGCCACCAATGAAGCTGCCGCCGCAAATGAAGGCCATACCGCCGCCGCGTATTGGTACGCCCACCTCGCCGCCGCCGCCAACAGCTCAGGTCGATGCGGCGCTGCAGAATGGCGGCGGCAATGATGATGCCGCCCTGCCACCGCCGCCCATGGAGGCGCAGACGCATCTCGGCACCAACGTGGACGCCACGCCGCCCAAGTCACGCATCCAGGCTGCCAATGGCAAGCCTGGCAACGGTCTCGCTCTGCACAATGGGGGCGCTGGCGGTGGCGGCGGCGGCGGCGGTGGGGGTGCTGGTGTAGGCGGTGGTGGAGCAGCACCATCAGCTGGAAATGCTGGCACCGTTCTGGACGATGACGACGATCTGCCACCGCCTCCGCCGGCGATAACCGACGAGAGTAACTATGCCGTAACCGAGCTGTAAGCGCAGCTCTGCGAAGGCATTTGGCATTATATAACCCAAACAGGGGATGGCCCACACCTGATGGCATTTAGTAACATTTTTAATGTGTTCCTTGGTTCTTGATTTGCATTTCGAATCCTAATCCTCTCTTATGCATCCTACCAATTAGGGCTAGCCAAAAGAAAGCAAAGAAAAAAAGAAACGAAAACAAAAACAAAAATACTTGAAACTGATGGAAATACAACCCAACTACTGGACTTTTGTATATATACAAACACACGACTACACAAATCCTTACTATTATATATATACACACACACACACACACACACACGCACACACACAACATACACACACACATATGTATCTATGACATTTACTAGACATATATATATATATATATATACACATATATACACAATATTTAGTACGAATATTCTTTTTGATAATAGGCATTTTTATGATCGCAAAATTTTTATTGTAACAATTTTAGCTGGAAACAGAAGCATAACAAGAACAAGAACATGGAGAAGAAGAAGCATAGAAAGCCAAAAAAAAAGGAGCTGAAAATATGCAAAGAACACAAGCAAATATGGGAAAAACTAATTGTATTATATAGCAGTTATATACATAGTTATATGTAGGAGTGTAGGCCGGAACTACTCAAAAAAAAAAAAAAAAAAAAAAAAAAAAAAAAAAAACAAGAAGATATAGATAACATTGCTTCTGCCCCTCTCTTCAGGCAAAAAAAAATACTAATAATGGTGGCTCTCTAGTTATAATATTTGGAAATTATTATTGTTACTAAAAATACTAAACACCATTTATTTTGCTTTATTTAATTTTTTTTTTTCAAAATTAAAAACGTTTCATAACCTCAAAAAGCAGCTAGCCGAGAGCGACCATTAAAACACATAACGGTTAAGAGGAGAGGCCACAGCTGATGGCCCGGAAGGGAAGCGGATGGCTGGGGAGGGGGAGGGGGGCAGCAGCTGAGGGCATCGCATGAAGTGAACGTTTTTCAAGGCATTTTGTCGAGTCAATTTTTTTCTCCAAAAAATATGATCGAGAATGGGATCGGCTTTGATATTTTCGAACTTTTCAAAGGAGGATGAGGAGGGAGGGGGAGTGGGTGGGTGGGTGTGTGAACGGGTTGAGTAGGTTATTTGGGTTGTGCGCCAGGTTAGGATCCGGTTAGAGCTGTTCGGACCTTGCGATTTTATTGTAATTAACCGTAAGCTTAACAACAATTGCATTTATTAACAATTTAAACTAAATACTTAGCACATTCCGAGTGCGCATATACATACATACATATACATATACAAACATACTATATACATATGTAGCTATACAAGTAACTGTATATTTAATAGCAGTAGCTAAACGAAAGTCGAAAGCGTAGCCTAAAGCAAAAAAAAAAAAACTGGACTATATATGCATATACCCAGATCGTGTGTAAACAGATAGCAATATACAAATTTATATTACTAAAGAAAAAAAGTACTGCCCCGACATTCGGCTGAGCCGAAGCAAACCGCAAAACCGCAAACCGAGAACACAAACAAAAATACTAAACAGTTATAAATGATATATACATATATATACAACTTGTATATATATGGACTACCGCAATATGATAAAGTACTTGCAAAGAAATGAAACTCAATACTTGTGTAGTTAGTTAGCGGAGTTGTTAGAGGAATTCTATAAACAAAATGAAAAGCAACAAAACAATGCAAAACAGTGTGACCAGAGGTCAGGCTAAAGCCCATCAACTAACACTGCCCGACTCTCTCTCTCTCTCTCTCTCTCTCACACACACACAAACACACATATATATATAAACTACATTAACAGTACAGCTAAAGATTTATTACTAGACTACTACTGTACACTATATAGAGCACATCGGGAATGATCAATTGTATAATATACATATACATATATATATATATAGCATATATATACGTATGTATGAAGCATATAAAGCGTAAACGAAAACCAAGTGACAAAAACAAAAAAAAAAAAACAATTTAATATAAAAAAACAAAATAAAATACAAAAGAAAAAACGAAAAAAGTTGAAGAAAAACCAAAAGAATTTCGAACATTTATTCGATAAACTTAAACTTTTAAGTATTAATACTCATGTATAGAACTGTAAAGTAACTTCGAACAAAACCAAAAACAACCGAATCAAGTTTTTTTATTCGCTTATATACAATTACCAAACATAATGTTATCAATTATCGAAAGATACGGCATGAGTATAGCTGTCCCGCGCCCCCAACCCCAAAATTAAAATAACTATTCGGTTGATCGAATACGAAATATATGTATCTGTTGCAGTCATACGTATATGTAGGACAGATCTTCACTGAGCATAGAATCTGGAAATCTATATGCTTTACCAGTTTTCCAATTTGACTTTTCTTCGCATCTATATACTTTACCTAACACTGTGCTGTTCGTGAAAAGTTTTCCAATTGAACTTTTCCATGTATCTGTATCTACTTTATATAATACTGCATAAGAAGTTTTCCAATTTAAGTTTTCTTCCGCAAACTCTATCTTGAAGCACATTTTTCTTTTGGAAAATCTTGGTAGCATTACATAAGCGAAAGTTGTTCCTTAAATCATTCAGAAATCGTTCTCGATGAGAGATACCTATGCATGGGCAGGCTTACACATGTTAAGGTAATTTTCGGAACAATTAATTCTTATATTCAAGAAAAACCCGCCATTTAGAGGGTATTCATTGCAGCAGTCCTTCTCAAACCTGGCATATGGTACATGATCTGACTTAATTATAATATCATGTCCGATTGAAAATCACATATGTTATATATACCAAGGCCCCCGCTTGGATATAGCTGGGGAAATTCTAGAATGGAGCAGCTGATTTAAAGACCTGATGGCGCAACTAGAACTTTGGGTATGGGGCGGAATGGACTTACGACAGCAGCTGATCGAAGAAGCTATATATACACACACATAAATACATACATATACATATATAACACACTAGCTCGTAAATATATTTCTGTGTTAAATGTTGTCATCGTACGCGTTGTAGTTATTAAAGGGAAAATACAAAAAAAAAAACAAAACAAAACAAAACAAAACTTTAGGAGCTGGGAAACCTTTCGGGCATGTAGAGAGCGGCAAGATCCAAGTTGTACAACATATACAAACATTAAGTGTATATGCATAAATAGTTAAAGACAATGTAAAGAGGCGGCAGGAGCAGAAGCAGAAGCTTAAACAAAGGCAAAACTTAAAGAGCAAACATTAAGAATCGTAGGCAATATCGAAATGAAAAACAAAACAAAAATCCGCATACCTAAAAATTCGATTAGGTTCGGCAAATCGCTTGCGAAACAATTTCACAATGTTGCGTGGATTCGAGTTCGGGAACTAAACCGATTTAAGGGTATATGTGGTAAAATAAAATAAAAAAAAACCAAAAAAAAAAAAAAAAAAAAAAAAAAAAAAAACAAACGAACGGCACAAAACCCGACAAAAATTTCATTCAAGCAAAAAGCGGCAAACATAAAGAAACGCTAAAAAACGAAAAATATTAATAAAATAAAATAAAACGATAAAATTTAATTATTCAACGAGTTTCACTGATCTTTGGATTTCTACAGGTATTTGGGCTTCGATTAAGATAAAACGCAAAATTGGAATTAAAATTCTTAATTAACATTTTTATCTTTCAGTTAAATTACGAATTAATATGACGGGGTTCACGAATTTTCGTAAATTGCTTATAACGTAATAAAATGTTTTCATATTTAAGGAACTTTTGCTTTTGATTTGGATAAAGGCTTCTTTTGATTATCATATGTAGAAGCAAGGCTAACTTAAGTTCATGAGAATCGCATAGTAAGGCAATTGATATAAATACTTATTTATGCACCGTTACAAGGGAAATTAAATATATATACAAAAATCGCAAAAAACGTGTGTACAAAACTTTCTTCTTTACCATCCGATCGGCGTCAAGCTTATGTATTTTCAAAGATCTTTGCGAAAATTCATTTGATACGCTTTCCGCCTTTGGTTTAATGAGCGAAAGTTTATTTTTCGACTTCAGATTCCAACTTGTGGCTAGCTATTCGACTACAACATATTTTCGAGAAAGATGGAACGGGCAGAATTACATTTTCCACGGGCGGAAAATAAATAGAAAAGTAATACAACGGGCAAGGCCGGGTAATATCAGCTAGTCTACATATATTACGTCCAATACATAAGCTTATAGCACATGTGTTTACTGGGAAAATGTACAGCGGGTATTACCCGGCATTGCACGGACCAATTGCAAATGTCTAACCTTGGGGCTGAGATGTGCAAAATTGTTAGAAATATATGAAATACGTGCACAGAATATCCTCCAGTCGGGCAACCCTGGCAAGGATTCTCACTCAGTTAATATTTCATTTCCGGTTAGGATCTGAGCTAACCAAACTTACAGATTAAATGGAAACGAAGAGTGAGGCGCTAGTCGCCCGTCTCTTTTTCTCATCTGAAGGCATATTGAAAATCTCTCTTTCTGGCTGGTAATTAGAATTATATTATTATAATAATAGTAATTTTTATCAACAACGAACAGCGAGGCACCAGTCACCAGTCACCCGTCTCTTTTTCTCATCTGAAGGATTCTCTCTCCGTGGTTGTAATTAGAATAATATTAATCATAGTTATTATCATTATCATTGTGCACATTCGCAGCAGCATACTTTATTTCAACTTGTATAATAAATATATATATCATTTTTATATGTGTATATATTAATTGTTTTTGATTTCACTTAGCGCCTAAACAAATTAGATTAAAAAGGTGCAAATTATTGCTACGCACACAATCGAACATTGTCCAATTGTCCTTAGTCTATTTAATTGAATTAAAGGTACTTGCATGCACGGACAAACAAATCCCAAATGTGAAACAATATCGAATAAGGACAATGGAATTCAAGTCAAAGGATATTTTAAACGCCCTACAGAGGAGAACAACAACAACGATGCAACAGAAAAAAAAAAATAAATGGAAAATATATATGTATATGTATATATGTGTATACACAACACATGAATAATAAATTGGTTAAAAATACATATATGTATATATAAGAATAAATGATAATACAATAGTTGAATATATAAGTAAAACAATACATAGAAGCAAACGTGCTTTTTTAGCATGTGGAACATCAAATGCTGTTCCAGCTCTCGTCTAAGAAGAGTTCTTTGGAATTACAGAATTGCTTTTGGAGTTTTAAGGTTGTTTTAGT